GATTAAAAAAAAAAAATTTAAAACACCAATGATGAACTCACAGTAAGAGAAACTGAAAAAATAATCCCATTTACCATCACAGCAAAAAAATTAAGATACCTAGGAATAAACTTAACCAAAGAAGTAAAGGACCTATTTGCAGAAAACTATAAGACATTGAAAAAAAAAATAGAGGAAGATATAAAAAAGTGGAAGCACATAACTTGTTCATGGATTGGAAGAATTAACATCATTAAAATGTCCATATTACCTAAAGCAATCTATAGATTCAATGCAATCCCCATCAAAATACCAACGAAGTATTTCACAGAACTAGAACAAATACTTTAAAAGCTCATATGGAACCAAAAAAGACCCTGAATAGCAACAGAAATCTTGAAAAAGAAGGACAAAGCAGGTGGGATCACAATACCAGATATCAGGTTATACTACAAAGCGACTGTAATCAAAACAGCCTGGTACTGGCACAACAACAGGCATATAGACCAGTGGAACAAAACAGAGAACCCAGAAATAGACCCAAGGCAATATGCTCAATTAATATTTGCAAAGGTGGCAAGAGCATACAGTAGAGTAAAAACAGCCTCTGTAATAAATGGTGTTGGGAAATTGGACAGCTACATGCAAAAAAATGAAACTAGACCATCAACTTACACCATACACAAGAATAAACTCAAAATGGATAAAAGACTTAAATGTGACCTCTGAATCCATAAAAATTCTAGAAGAAAATGTAGGCAACAAAATTTCGGACATCATACACAGAATTTTCACTGATACATCACCTAAGGCAATAGAAACAAAGGAGAAAATGAACACATGGGACTACATCAAACTAAAAAGCTTCTGCACAGCAAAAGAAACAACCATCAAAATGGCAAGGCAACCCACTGTATGAGAGAACATCATTGCCAATGATACATCAGATAAGGGGTTAATTTCCAAAATATATAGAGTGCTCATACAACTCAAGAAAAGGAAGACAAAGAACCCAATTAAAAAATGGGCAGAGGAGCTGAATAGACACCTCTCCAAACAGGACATACAAATGGCCAAGAGACATATGAAGAAATGCTCAACATCACTAATCATCAGAAAGATGCAAATTAAAACAACTTCACACCTGTCAGAATGGGCGCCATCAACAAATCATCAAACAACAAATGTTGGAGAGGGTGTGGAGAAAGGGGGACGCTAGTACACTGCTGGTGGGAATGCAGACTGGTGCAGCCACTATGGAAAACAATATGGTGTTACCTCAAAAAATTAAAAATTGAACTTCCATTTGACCCAGTGATCCCACTTCTAGGAATATACCCTAAGAAGCCTGAAATACCAGTCAGAAAGAACATGTGTACCCCCATGTTCATAGCAGCACTATTTACAATAGCTAAGATCTGGAAACAGCCCAAGTGTCCATCAGTAGATGAATGGATAAAAAAGTTGTGGTACATATATACAATGGAATACTATGCAGCGGTAAGAAAGAAAGATCTCTTATCCTTTGAGACGACATGGAGCAACCTGGAAAGTATTATCCTAAGAGAAACAAGCCAAGCAGAAAAAGACAAATACCACATGATCTCACTTATTTATGGAATATAATGAACATAACAGTTTGAGGAATAAGGTAGACCCAGAAACATGGAAGTAGGGTATAAACTGACAATACCTGAGAGAGGGGTTGGGGGGGAGGAAAGAGATAAACCACAGAACTTATATGCTAGTATGTATAACCAACGGACATGGACAACAAAGCTGGGGACGGGGTAGGGGGGAGGGGGAGGAGGGTGTCAATGGGGTAAAAAAGGAGAAACATCTGTAACAAAAATAAAATTAAAAAGAAAAAAAATAATATGAAGTTCAAGTACTAGCAAAAGATAGTGACTAATCAGCATAGTAGTTCCCTCTGCATGGGGTTTAAAAGGGCATTAGGGAACTTTTGGAGGTGCTGGAGGTGTTCTAAATCTTGATCTAAGCAATGGTTACATGAGTTTATGAATTTATCTAAATTCACTGGAGAGAGGGAAGAGGAAACATTATGGTAATGAAAAAGTAGAACTGCTCTATATTAAAACGGACTAAAAAGACCTAAAAAGGAAATGCAACATGTACACTCTGATTGGACCCTGGTTTGAAAAAATTAACTACACAATTCACTTTTGAAACAACTGGGAAACTTGAATATTGCCTAGATATTTTAAAATTATCACTAAGTTCTTAGATGTGTGATAATGGGTTTCTGGTTATATAGAAAAATGTTCTTACTTTTAGAAGATGTATACTGAAGTATTTAGGAGTGGAATATCATAATAGCAATACTTTACTTGAAAATTTTCAGCAAAAAATATTTATTTTATATATGCATATACCTGTGTACAGACATATCAAATTAATGTGCACAGGTAATAGTTATATTATTCTTCCTACTACTCTGTATGTTTAAAAATGTCAATAAAACGTTGACAGAAAAGGATGATGCCATCTTTTATAGATAGAGTAATCTTCAGGATATATTAAGTGAGGGGAAAAAAGCAAAGTACAGAATAGCTTATATAATATACTACTTTTGTTCAAGAAACAAATGTAAAAAAAATAGGGGGGTTACTGTACATGTATGTGTATCTATTTGGTTATATTACAAAAGGAAACACTAGAATAAATCAAAAATAAATAAAAATGGTTACCAATAGCAAATGAGTATAGGTGGAAACAGGTTTCAATAGGGCTGGAATCGAGACTTCTCTGAGTAGACAGTTTTGACTTTAATGCCATATAAATGCAAAAAATAAAATAAAATAAATTGAAAAGAAAAATTAAATTGAAAAGAAGATGTAATATCTATGATCACATAATTCCTCTATTCAGCCAAAGCCAAATTAACACTTGTTAAACTTCTATGGTTATTAATGGTCTTTTTTGCTCTTTCTGAGCATCAGAGCCATTTAACAGGGCTTGTGGTGGTCAGAAAACTTAATATATTGTTGCAAATGTGCCCCTTAAAAGTTGTGCAACCCTAGAAAAATAATCATGTTATGGCTCCATAATTTTCTCGCCTGTAAAAAGGAATAAATCCAACGACAGCTAAAATTTCTTAGAAATATAAAATCTTGTCTCAAACATTTGGTGAAAAAATTTTTTAAACAGAAATGTTTCCACTTGCATAATTTCTTAACCCTCCATAAACAACAAAACTCCATTCACTTTCTGTAGTTCAACTAATACTGAGGAGAAAGAACAATGAAATAAAATTTGTTTCCCAGACTCCTTCCCTCAGGCAGCAATCAGTTACAGTACAACAAAGCGCTTCCTTTGATCAAGTCTGCGTGGGCAAAGGATGGGAAGCAGCAGCCAGCCTGTCAGGCAGCTGCTCTCCCCAGGCTGCAAACCCCATTGGTCAGCAGCGAGGAAGCAGCAGCCAGTGACAAAGTCTGTGGAGTTTTACTAACTGCCCCGAAAGAGCGGTTCAGGAAGCTCCACGTATTCTTTTGCTGAACTAATCTTACTGTACAAAAAATTTGCCAAACGTTGGCAGCTCTGGAAGGAAAACATCTGAAGCTAGGGATATCGGGTTTCCAACACAGCAGAAAGAAAAATCTCTGCTGGCTTGAAGACAAACCGAGAGTGCCAGGAACTTTGACCTCCTCCACCCCGCCTCACACTCTGTCCTGGCCAGCCTTCCCTTCTTTAAGACCTAACAAAAGACCTAAAACAGCCTTGTGACTTCCCTGGAGGGTTCACGAACTGTGCAGCAGCGGCCTCGTTCTGATGTGAGGAGGGACAGCCAGGAAACGGGATGCTGCAAGGGTGGGGTTACGTGGAAAGAGAAGCCTAGGTGCGGAGTGTGCAGGAGGGGAGAGGGCTGCTTGGTGCCGCACCCAGGGGAGCGATGTACATTTAAGTACCCCACCCCCCGTTTTGATGGGAGATCAAAGACTGAGTGGAGAGATAAGAAGACTTAGGTGGGAGGAGAGAAAAGGGACATGGAGGAATTTTGGTTCCAAAGTAGTTGCAGATCGAAAACGGGGGTATGGGAAAGCTCTTGGGAGATTTCCTCTAGACTGAAGAAAAGCTGGAGCTCTCATCTGAAGAGGAGAGAAGGAAGGGGTTCTCTAAAGAAGGAAGGAGAAGGAAGTGTTCTTACAGCACGGAGTGGTCCGAGGCCCCTCACTCGAGGAAGGACCTGGGGTTCTCTGCCTGCGCTGGATTTGCACAGCAGGTTGGGGGAAAGGGACCCATTCGGCATGTCTGAAGAGCGGCTGGCTGGGGCTGCAGGTCCTCCAGAGCGACTTCAGGCATGAGTCGTTTCTCTCTAAAAGTCCATACCTTTCTCGGGGTAACGGGAAGGGTAAGGGTCACCTCTCCACGCGCAGAGGGTTTGGGCATTGGAGGGGCCTGCAATGATTTCTGCGGGGCTGGCCTGGGAGGGGAGAGGGTAATGGCAAGGTGCTTTGTGAAATGATGACACACTTCAGTTGTTGGGTGTGGGGGCTCGACTTTGAAGACTGAGCGTAAAAGGCCACTCACTAATCATAAGGTTGGAAATTTGAAAAAAGGCCGCCAGCTGTGATTTGGGAAGAAATGCTCCCTAGCCTACCCCGCCCCCCCAGACGGGAGAGCGCAGGGCCAATAATACCTCCCACTAGGAGAACAGGAGCAGAAAAGAGGACTTATAAAGAACCCCCCCCCCCGCCCCAATAACTCCCTGCAAAGTTGGGAGCGGGGAGAAGATCTCTGAAGGGTTTGGAAATGGTTTGAAGGAACCGCAAATGGAAGTCGATGAAGCGCGGGGAGCTGCGGTGGGGTCAGGCCTCCGCGTGGCGGGCGTGGGAGGGCGCCCTGGAGTTTGAGGTGGGGAAGACCGAGGTGACAAGGGTCTAGGCTAACTAAGGATGATTCAGAGGGTGAAGGGGGTTTTGAGGTGCTTCGAGGTTCTCAGAGTTGAACAGAGGCGGCGTCCCGAGGAAACTCCGGGGGCCGGGGGCGTGACCGGTACTCACAGAGCGGATCTCCAGCGCCAGGGCGCATTGCAGCGCCTTCACCTTTGGCATCCGTGCAGGGTGGGGTGGCGGGGAGGGACCCCGGCCGCCGGCCCGAAGGAGGCGAGGAGACGCGGGGCGGGACAGGGACGGGGAGGAGACGAGGTGGCGGCGGTGGCAGCTGTGGCCCCCAGGCCGGGGCCCGCGGTCCAGCCTGGGTCCCGCCCGAGAAGCAGCTGTGCGCGGGGCGCAGACTCGTTGTCATGGCATCCGGGGGGCGGGGCCGGAAGACAGGCGGGGCGGGGCCGCGCCGGGGCCGCAGTGCGAGAGAGAGCGGCTGGCGACGGGGCTGGGCGAACGCCGGACGGGGCGGGGCCTCCGAAGGGGCGGAGCGAGGTCAGGCAGTTCTGTGACATCAAACTGTGGGCCCAAAGTTAGACAAAGGAGAGAAAAACTAGGTAATGGGACAGTGAACAGGTCAAGTTGGACCCAGGAGCCCTGAGTTCTAATGTGGCGAGGCACCCTGGGCTAGTGGGGTCCCCCTGCGGCGTCAATGTCCCCAAATGTAAAAGAATAATTATTCTCATTTGAATTTCACTATAGTTTATAATGACAGCTATAAGAAACTGAGGATTAGAGGAGACATGTCCAAGTCAAAGGCAGAATCATAGTTTTACCTTTTACATTTTGATGTTTAATCTGTCAAGACTTAATCTTTGTACATGATGTTAGATAGGAATCTGGGGTTCTGTTTTGTTTATCCTCTAGAAAGTGAGCTAGATTTCCCAAAGATATCTCCTAAAACTTCTGAACTTCCCCTTATTGAGTTGTAGCACCACCCATGGCATATATTACCTAAAGTTCTGTCTTCATGCTTTCTATTCTGTTCCAGTGTTCTATTTGTCATTCTTGCAACAGTATCACACTGTTTTATTACTATGACTTCTTAATATCCTGTTTGGCAAGCCTCTTTTAAAAATGAGATTGATTTAGCTATTTGTGAGCCTTTATTGCTTCATTTTAGAATACCTTCACCAGGTTCCTCAAACAGTCCAATTGGAATATTTTATTATGATGCATTAAATTTATGGACTAATTCGAGGAACTAACATCTTAGGAATATTACATTATCCTATCCAAGAACATAAAATGTCCATTTATTAGCTCATCTTCTATGTTCTTTACCAGAGGTTTCAAGTTTCTTGCATAAAGGTCCTACTTAATTCCTAGGTGTTTAATTATAGTTTTTTCTTTATATTATTGAAAAATAGTTTCTTATTTTTTATTACTAATTTGTTATTGCAGCTGAAGAATGTTTTAGCAAGCAGTTTACTTTTGGTATGATTACTTAAACTTGTGCAGACCGTGATACATTTGTTAGTGCAGATATGTGTAAACTCAGGATGTTTTTAAAGCCCCTTTAACTTGATAGGACTCAACTCCCAAACTCTGTCTCCCCTACAGGTTTTGTTATGCTTGGTGATAGACTTTGTTTTGGGGGTTTTTTTTAAATTATTTTTTTGGTACATGCCCCCAGCGGGAACCGAACCTGGAACTCTCTGGTCTGCAGGCCAAAGCTCCAACCACTGAGCCAAACCAGCCAGGGTGGTGATAGACTTTGTTAAGACAAGTCTAGTGCCTTACTAGGGCATAGTCCTTTCTGTAAATGTGCAGTCTTTCTAGTGTATCACTTGGAATCCAGGAGTATTAATAAAGTGTTGAGGAAAAAAAAAAAAAGAACTCTCCATAATGGAAGGTTCATCGCTACAATGTTCCCCAGCAGTACTTGATCTCAAGAAACTGTTCTGCTCCCAACCCTGTAGCAGCTGCTAACTGGAAAGCTTCAGGTGATCTCACCCTGTGCATGTAAAGTCCATCCCTTGGCCTTGAACTCTTGGAGAAACCCCTCATAGCTTTCTGGGTTCTCTGCATAGCTCCTGTCTTAGTTTGGACAGGGTCTTAGTTTGGATGGTTACTGTAACAGAATATCATAGACCAGGTGGTTCATAAATAACAGAAATTAATTTTTCACAGTTCTGGAGGCTAGACGTCGAGATCAGGGTGGTAGCATATGGGTTCTGGTGAGAGCCCTCTTCTGGGTTTCAGATGGCCATTTTCCCTTTGTATCTTCAAATGGAGAAGTGGACAAGAGAGCTCTTGGGGTCTGTTTTATAAAAGCACAACCCCATTTATGAGGACCCCACCCTAATGACCTAATTTAATTACCTCTTAAAGGCCCCACCTACAAATACCATTACATTGGGGATTAGAATTTTGACTTTTGCATTCAGGGAGCACATTAAGTCCGCAGCAACTAATTTGAAGGTGTTCGTCTGTCATAGCCTTCAGTTTCAGCCTCATACAAAAATTCAGCTGCCAATTGCTAAGCCCAGACATAGAATTTTGGTAAAAGTTCTAATATGCATGAGTAGCAGCATTGTGAATGGCACCACTATAATTAATGATACCTCGGGAAGATTTATAATCACAGGTAGCAGCTAAAACAGAAATAGTACTGCTTCTGCACTTCCCCTCCTTTTATCCTCTATAAAATTTTATGGGAAACAAGTCCAATAAAAAATGTAAGCTCTTAATCTTTCCCAGAAATCCTACCTCATTTGATGAATATTTTAAAGGAATAAATTAGAGATTTTTTTTCTTTTATACAGTCTACTTTGCATTTATGAAGTGAGGATGGGAACTCAGACTCTCTAGACAAATGGTCAGCCAGTCAGAGGCATTTTTAAAGACCTCTGTTGTTTTTCATTCATGTTCAATCTCCATAAAGGAATTGACTCCTGAGTCAGTGTCTTCATTAGTTATAAGACGATGAACAATAACAATAACCATAGTAACTATTTGGTGACAGTACATTATATATCAGGGGTTGTACAAGGTATTTCATATACATAATTATATACCTCATACATCTCTACAGGATAAATATTTATATCTCCATTTAACAAATAAAGAAGTGAGCTCAAAGTAAATTAACCTGCCCGCGGCTCACAGAGCACCTGACACAGCAGGAATTTGAACCTAAGTCTGCCCTACTCCAAAGGCAGCCTTCTTTCTACTCTAAAAGGCTGCTTCTCATTATTTATGATTTTAATAATATCAACTACAAACATTTTAATAAGTTTAAGATACAATACAGCCCAATAATCATGATGACAATAGTAATTGTTATATTAGAAGAGATGTTGTATATAACATGTCATTATGATCTTGAATTTGAATAGAACTTTGTTTCTGAAAGCATGTTTCTATCACTTAATTTGATTCTCAGAATGATTCTGTATATTTTAAAGTAGAACTATTCCTAAACCTCTAACACTAGACTGTAGGCACATTTATCACTGAGAGTGAAAGGTTTAAGAGGAGCAAGACTTGTAAAATTTCTGACATAGTTGGGAATGAAAAGACAAAGCAAAAATCACCCTGTTGTAAGACTTTTCTTACATAGAACAATATGAATTGTACCCCTTGTGAGGGGAAGATTTTTGGCTTATAATGTATTATGCAACTATAATAATAAATACCTAGGAGAATGTTTTGTTTTATTAATATTGTCTCCCTATGCAAGATATGCTAGTTTAATCAATGATAATTAGATTGCATTCCTCTGACTGAGTGTTAGAAAGTAATAAGCCAATGAGAAATGACTTCCAATGTCTCATATAACAGCCTTAGGGTAAAGGAACTTTAATAGACAAGCTTGCTTTTGAAAAGCAAGAGGTGGGAATGGGAGGGAGGACACATTATAAAAGTTCTGAACCCAAGCTACAAGCTGGGTCTGCTGGAACTGGGCGTCACTTCCATCCCGGCCTCCGAGACTCTTCCTACTGCCTCCTTTCAGGAGAGAAAGGGCACCAGCCGTAGTATTGCACTGACGGCCCACCACACCGTCCTAGGGAGGAGTCTCTGAACACTGAAGGTTTGGAACTCAGGAGCTGTTGGGGAAGGAGGGGGATTCGGATGGAAATACCATTTATTTCACCCACAAATAGCAAGCTGTAGGCACCTGGGCCTCTGAGTACTTGTGGTAACTTGAGTGATAGCCTCGCAAAGGTGTGCATGTCCTAATCCCCAAAACCTGTGAATATTAATTTCTTTGGCAAAAAGGACTCTGTAGATGTGATCAACTTAATGATCTTGAGATGGAGAGAGTATCCTGCTTTGTCCAGGTGGGCCTTCGTAATCACCAGGGGACCAGAAGCGTCGGAAAGAGGGCCGCGTGACCGCGGAAGCAGAGGGAACAGAGGGGATGTGATACGGGGCCAGGAGCTGAGAAACGAGGTCAACCTTTAGAGACTGGACAAGGCGAGGAATGGATCCTCCCCCAGAGACGCCAGAGGAACCAGCCCTGTCAACACTTTGACTTGAGCCCAGTAAGACTTGTTTCAGACTTTTGGCCTCCAGAAATGTAAGATAGTACCTGTGTGTGGTTTTAAGCCACTAAGTTTTGTGGTCATAGTTTTAGCCATACGAAACTGTTACAGGACTTGATTCAGTCAAAAACTGCAGGCAGGTTAGAAGTTAAATAGGCTGACTGCAAATTTCTTCAACTAGTCCAGAACTAATTTTGCGACAGAAATGGCAAATTTAAAAATCATGACACAAATGGTGACTCAGAGGACTTTTCAGGCCCACTGTCAGGAAATGAACACCACCTCTGCGGTGCCTGCTGGGGATGGGCTCTTAGCACACTGGTGATAAACAGCCCCTCGCAGCCCTTCCTACGCCACCTGCCAGTTTTAGCAAAATTAGATTCTAATAACAGTCCCTGAAAATAAAGCAGGCCCATTAATTGAGGGTGTGAACAAAAAAACGTAAGGCTGTATTGGCACCAAGTGACCGCCCTTCCATTCCGTGTACCCCTGGATATCCCATTCTGGGTGTTCTTCCTCAGGTGGATTGGCCGCCAGTGCCATTGGGGTCCTCAGTTCCCCTTGTTCTTACAGGAAAGAAGAGTGGAAAGGAGCTGGATCTCCTCCCATTTTCAAAATAGATCTGCAACCCGACCCCCGCTCGGTAGACCCTCTTATGTTGCTCCTCTCTCGGCTTCCATTCATCAGAACAAGATTGGCTTCTCATCCCTCCCTCAAAGTTCTGAGATATTTAAAAATAAATAGGTAAGCCCAGCCAGTGTGGCTCAGTGATCGAGCGTTGACCCATGCACCAAGAGCTCTCAGGTTCGATTCCCGGTCAGGGCACATGCCCAGGTT